TATGTATCTCCAATGAAGTAATAAGGTCCAAAAATACTTGGTGGCTTATAAGTTTGGTTGCTAAAAGCAAAGCCAATCCTTATCAGTTCTGACGTAGGGAAAGATGTCCCTGTTGATGGAAAGAGGCTCACTTGAACTTGGAGGTAGTCATCACTGCTGAAAAGGACACCAGAAAGGAAAACTGCACCAGGGCGCAGTCCCAGCTCTTTCCAGAGGCTAGTTTCCAGTTGCTGAAAAGTCGTTCTGTCACTCGGGTCAGCGAACAATGGCGCTCTGAAGATCATCTTGCCCGTGTAAGGATAGGCACAACTGCAAGTTGCAGGGTCTAGACTTTGATCACCGGAACATGTGGTTGAACCACATTGCGTTATATTGGTGCTGTATGATATCAGGCCCTCTTGCTGAAGGCTGCAAAAGGAGCGGCTCGAGGAATCTGAATCCAAGCACACAGGATTCCCCACAAGTCTGCGAATAGGTGAAAAGGCAATGCTAGTGAATTAATGGAATATAGAGGGAATGTTTAGAGCTTGGTTCTGGAATATGCAGGTACTGCTCACACAAGGGTCTTGTTGTAGCTTGGTGTTATGTTGACTGCAAATATGCGATTGTTAAAGAGATTCACGATCTTCAGTTGTTGGGTGATGTTGCCAGTCATCTCTAGTGTTCCATTCAGTGCGTTATTGCTTAGTATACTGTCTGATCAGCGAAAAAGAGGAAAACATGAGAAACTTCTATGTTCACGATAATTCGTTTCTGTTACATGTCGCCAGAAGATTACACTCGCTGCAGATTGGATAGGGTGAAGAGCCTTTTGGGAACTGGGCCGGAGAGTCCTCCAGATTCTATTGCTCTGCATATTAAGGTGTCAAAGTAACAAATTGTGATTGAGGGAGAAACATATTACTGACTAATGACTACCGTGAGGGAACATCAGATGATCAGTAGTGCACAGTATTAATTTACTCACACTGAAGTAAGAGACTGTAAAGTTGAGAACCAGTTCGGTGCTACTGATGGATCGAACGAATTGTTGCTTAAGTCCCTGGGTGTGCAGATAAAATTGATCAGAACAGTGTACATCATAGAAGTTTGCAGAAAACAATGCAGACGTTTCTTACACCACGTTTAGTTTGCTCAGGCTACTGAGATCTGGTATTGTCCCATTCAGCTGGTTGTTTGCTAAATTGCTGCAGAAAAAGAATTACACCACATGAGATAAATATATTATTCTTTTTGGTTACGGGTTATCACAATTCACGCTACTTACAGGAGATTTAGGTTGTCTAGCTTGCTGATGTTGGCTGGAACTTCTCCTGTGAAATTGTTCCTGTCTAATCGGCTATGGAGGATGCAAAGGGGTTCAACAATAGCAACTAGAATATGTTGGAAGAAAGACATTGCCCATGTACTTACATGATTTTGAGGGTTGCGATGCCACCAAGCTCAGGCGGGATAGGACCAGACAATTGATTGTGGTCAAATAATCTGAGGAAGTTCAACAAAGTAGTCAGTGTAACATGTGTAGTGCTACTAAAAATGAAAATTGGTACTTCCTTACATGTGCTCGAGGATCATGCTAGAGTTGAAGAGGCCAGCAAGACTACCACTTAACTGATTCTTGTTAAAATGGCTGTTGATTTATTGGAGATAAGCATCAGTATGGTAGGAGAAACAAAGCGACTTAAATTTCAGTTACAAAAAGTGACTTAACACTTCATATTGATCATGCATTCTTGATTCAGGCTGAAGGAAGAAATGGTAGAGGGACTTACAAATGTTTGGTGTGTGTAAGTAGGTCAAGTCCTGGAGAACCACCTGAGGAAATTGGAATAGATCCAGAAAGCTGGTTATCTGCCAGGTCTAGCCAAAAGAGGTTTGAGAGTAGACCAAACGATGGAGGAATCCCGCCTGTGAAGTTGTTTGAATTCAGTGCCCTACAGAGAAATTGTTGCAGAGCAAATTCATCTCATTAGTACAACCAAAGTATCAGCAGAGCTTAATAATAATGTGAGCATGACTAAGGCTTTGTATGTGTCTAATAGTTCTTACAAGAACGAGAGCTGCGGCAAGTTTCCTAATACTTGGATGCCTCCTGTGAAGCTGCAGCCAGCCAAGATCCTGAGAAGCACAGTGCAGTAGGGTAGGCCAGTGATTGATGTATCCCAAATATGCAAGATAAGGATTTGCTAATGGTCATGCAGGCATACAGTGTTGTTAGCTTCTTGAGATTCCTGATAGCATCAGGCAGTGGGCCACCAATTCCAATGTTGAAGGAGAGATCCCTGCAAGCACCCTAAAGTATGAGCAAAAACAATATATTATATTTTATCGAGGTAAATTAGCCAGTTCTTTTTTTCTAAACTTGCTACATATGTAACGTCAGGTTTTTGTTTTATTAGTATAGCTGATATCTTCTCTGTTAAAATGTTATAAGCTCTGCAACTTTACCATCTGGAAACAAAGAATTCATGTTCATGTTTTCTTTAAGCAGTCAAAATCTCCAGAATCTTCTGATATACTCCAACATTTGAAGCAGAAAATGTACTCTTACTATTGATGATTAATAAACTTGAATGATTTTAAGGGTACGTAACTCACAGATAAACAAGCTCATTGAGTTGGCCTACGCTGTTGCTTAATGTGCCTTGAGCGTCAATAATGCCTGAAAGCCTCCTGGAAACAGGGATGCCAAATTTAACTGGATGATAGGTGAAATTAAAACATCATTATTTAGTACTCACAGTGATGTCACCCGCCCCTTGTCGCACATAACCCCGTCCCATGGTGTTCCACATGGATCATTTGATGCTTTCCAGTTTGATGGGAAGTCCTGCCATCCACTGATGAAAGACTGGAGCGCAGCCACTGACAATGCATATTGATGTTATTATTCAGGAATTTACAGACCACTGACTTAAACTATATTATCTGCATGGTGCCATATCTTCCTTTTACTGTCAGTTGCTCTGCATCATGCTAATGTTATGCAGATAAATAAGAAAATTTGCGAACTTGGAGAATATGAAAGGAGATGATATTGAATGAACTATTTGATATGGTGTTTATGATAGTACGATTGCATTATGCACTTGAATGCCATCTCTATTTTATAGATAGAACAAAATTATTTTTCATACTAGTATGGCAGATAGAAAACATTTCATCTAAATACTTGTGTGGCTTGTCACCTTCAATATGATCAAGCTAAATCTTTGCAATGAAAGTAATCTAAGAAGAGAAAGGTACAGAAATTAGATTTATCATAGTTACCATCTTGAGGATCTGTATCACAGAGTCGCACAGGTATACTGGCCAACAGCATCAACAGCAGCAGAAACTTTCTCAATGCCTCCATTCTCAGAGCCTATGGGGATTACCTATGGGGATCACAATTTAGAAACACTCGAGTGGCAACAAACTGCAAAGCTGCTTGTGAAAGCTTCTTTGCAAGAACCCAAATGGAGGAGCATTCTAAGATGAACGCCAAAGCCTTGCTCTTTGGAAGGACATTTTCTCAAGAATAGGTCAACCGAATTTGTACCTGTTTGCATATTCCGCATGATACTTGGCCCAGCTGCTGGTTTTGTTGCCAAAAGGGAGAGATGGTCTCGAGGTGATCGAAGGGCAAGTAAAACAACCAAGTTGCATAAGGATTACTGACTGTTCCGTCGGTGTTATTTATTAACCTTTTCTAGACGGGCTGAGGACCTTCACGGGTCTAGGCTTTTCTTTGATCTTTGGTGGCTTGATACAGGTAACAGCTTTCATCCAACCAACCTGTTTCCTTTAAACGATGAAGTCGGGATGCTCTTTGGAGTTGGGACAACTGTTCCTTGTCTTTTCTCGGTTGAAATTAACGTCGCTGTGATGAAGTGATTCTTATATTCCGATATATACTTTCTTGTTAAGTAGCTAATAATATTATATTCTTTTGGTACAGCATATGTTGGTGGGGGCTGAAATAACAATGCCAAGGATTTGGAAGCCCTGATAGTGACAAAGTCATTGGTTTGCTCTTCCATTATTTGTGCAAAGGTACTTCCCCGTTTTGCCCCTTTTAATTTAAATTTATTCAGGGTAAAATATCTGTGTTTTTATCATTTGGCATACATGTCTTTTGATGTGCCATTTTGCCAAATGAGTGCAGATGCGACATTATACGTAGGGACTAGAGTTATTGACTGATGTTCCAATAAGAAAAGTGCAGTGAAGGTGCATGGTAATCAAGGCACTATTATCTTTGTGACTGGTTATGCAATCATAAGAAAGATGCTTCAATGTACATGATCGCAATGCGTCTTCTAATTTTGTTTTTCATCAATATAGTTGACTAAATTGTTTTTCTCACTAATACTGTATTATATCCGCAGACCATCGCCAATGCCAACCACTTTACGACCTCACTCCAACAGGACCTTAGACTTCACAGTTATTCATTAACCTCAACGGCCAATCAGAGGCTATAAGTTTACTAAAAATGTGGCCATTAATAGTTAAATATATGCTGTGAAATGGCATTTTGTTGTTTAAAAAAAAACTGTTGAGATTGCATCCGCTAATTACTCAAATCAGAAATTGGATGAAACGACTCAAGTTAGTGAAGGATGTTTCTAGGCTTGATGATGGATTGGAACTGTATGCTGGAGATGCACAATGTGTTCTTCCCTTTAGCAGATACTCCCTCTGTAAAGAAATATAAGAGTGTTTAGATCACTAAAGTAGTGATCTAAACGCTCTTATATAGAGGGAGTATCATTGATTTTAATTTTAGGTTATCGATAGAAAAAGAACAGGTCATGAATGTGGTATTATCGATAGATCATTCTCTCTGTCACATCTTAAGAAAGCAATTTGCTAGTGCGTGCTTATAACATATTCCACCTCGGTTATATCAACAGATAGGAAAATGAATATTGTACAATAAATGTCTTGTGTCCTATTCACTTGGACCATGCACCAAAAACAATGAGTAGAGATAAGCAAGAACCAATACATAGTTCCTACTTTGGTTCAACAGCTGAGTATGAATATACACTATTGTAATCAAAAGCACTGCTGCTGCTGCTGTCATCTTTCATAGGAGAGTGTTCCTCTTGGCCTCTACCTGTTGCATCTCCAAAATGTTCAGTTGACGAAGATGCTGAATTTAACAACGGACCCCCTTCATTCTGTAAAATGGTCTCAAGTTCCTTGACCACATCATTCATTGTCGGGCGGTCAGCAGCAGATTCTTCTACACATTCCATAGCCAATTGAACGAATCTCCTGAAGCCAACTAATTTAGCTGAATCCCTGATTGCTGGATCAATTAGGCTCTTCAATCCATAGTACTCTTGATCATACTGGTCTATTGCGGTCCTGATCTCACGCACAATGTACTTACCCTTCTCTATGGGCTGCCTGGAAGTTAATAGCTCTAGCATGACAACTCCGAAGCTATAGACATCACTCTTCTCGGAGAGCTGTTGAGTCATGTAGTACTCAGGATCCAAATAACCCTAGTATTTCGATATAAAAGATAAATTAGCAAGAAATCTTGTTTTCCCGAAAGAAACTATGCACTTTTAATTCTCAGAATCACTTACCAATGTTCCCTTCACTTGGGTAGAAACATGTCCCTTTTGTGTGTCAGACACTAGCTTCGAAAGACCAAAATCAGCTACCTTTGCAGTTAAACTTTCGTCCAAAAGTATATTGGTTGATTTTATATCTCTGTGAATAATTGGTGGATTAGCAAGTTCATGAAGGTATGCCAGGCCTTTAGCAGACCCAATTGCGATCTTAAGTCGCTTCATCCAATCCAACTGTATCCCTCCTTTACCTGAAGATTAGCAATGTTTAAATCGTATGTCCTTGTTTAGGAGATAGTTGTAAAGATGAAGAGAGTATACCCATCAAGTTGTCCCTGAGTGTCCCATTGGAAATATACTCATAAACCAACATCTGCTCCCCTTGTTCATAGCAGAAACCTACTAAGCTCACTAGGTTCTTGTGATGCACTCTGGACAGGAGTTCAATCTCATTCTTGAACTCAGCTGCACCTTGCATGGATCCTTGCTGTGCGCGTTTTATTGCAGCTATTTGTCCATTTGCAATCTTTCCTTTGTAA